AGGATTAATTAAAAATAATGTAAAAGTTATCTCGACGTATTGGACCAAGATATGACATACCAAGTTTCAAGTCAATCCGCCAAGAAATGAAGGAATGGCGGTTGATTGAAAAGTGTTTGGAAGAAGAAAGAAGAAGAACAATAGAAAAACGGTATGTCGCTGCGGAGACATAAAAATATGTTGACAGAAACAAAGAACTCACCTCTAGTTTGATGGCCTTCAGTAATAGTCCTTTCAATTCAGCCAAACTCTGGTTTATTCTAGCTCGGCGCCTTTTCTCCATCAATGGTTTTGATACCTGTAACGTTAGAGAGTACATTGTTTTCAAATGTCATGCCATAGAACCCAAGTTTGACTGCATGATTGTGTCTAAGTTAAAGTTTTTCTTCCTCAGATCACATAATGCTGTATCACTTCATATTGAAGAAAGAGTAACGTACGTCTGCCCTCATATAGCTTTGTGCGAAATTCAAATATATATAATGTTGACACGCTGTATTCGCTTCCAAACAGTCTGTAATTTGTCGCATTTTTTTTCTCCAATTCATATTCCTAAACCGAAAATGAGAATGATATTATAGTTGGCCATGGATTTCTGGGTTTTGGTCGAAACACTTAGCAGTTTGTCGTAATTTGACCAACACCAGCTAAAGCTATAAAACAAATCATTACAAAAACTTTTCGCTTTTATTTTAGCAAATTCAAGTTTTGAGCTATGTAAACAAAGACTGAATCAACAGTGTTGCCTAGATAGGAAGGGGTAAAAACTATTATGTTTGTGTTATTCGCAAACCCTTTAGCTTATTAGGGGGCTCATAAGTGTTAATGGAGTTTCAAGTCGTATTTTTTAATTATTTGACTCGTCAAACAAGGATCGAACACGGTTCAATTGGCTTAAATTGAACACTGCCCAACTGAACTCTTTCCACCACTTCTCCAACACACTTTTAGAACATCCCACTTAATTTTGTATTCAAAATAAACTTATTATAATATACTATAGTCAATTAAATGCAAACCTATAGGCCTGTCATAGTTAATCTGGTAGATAATTGGTAAGAGCAAGGATACATTCAACATTCAAAGGAACATGATAGTTAACACTCATTTAGCAGGTGCATCTTTATCAGAAACAGTTTATTTGGCCGGCTCTTCAAAAACATCTTTCACTAGAGCCCATCAGCAATAGCAAAAACTGTAACTTCCAACTAACCGTGGTTGATTAAGGGAAAAGACGACTGAACAATTTTGTAGAAGGTATGCTAGTGGTCAGAATTCTCCAACCATGCCATGCTGTTATCGCGGCGAAAGATAGTCGAATCTTAGATCAGCTGGGGATCTCGATAAAATGGACAGTTAGATGATATCAGAGTGAAAATAGTGTAATATTTTAAGAAATACGTGACAAAAGTTAGATTATTAATGTATTAAAACATTTCTACTAAACTTAACGTTTTAGAAATTCTCATTTCTTTTCCTGCAGCAAAGAAACTTTTTTTTTGTTAAGCACAAATCTACACAATGAGCTATGTGTGCTGTGCTCACCAGGAGTATCGAAACCCGGTTTTTAGCCATGTAAGTCTGCAGATTTACCGCTGAGCCATTGAGAGGCAACAAAGAAACAGAAGATAGAGATACATCAAAATGTACTTACGTATACACGTTACGAAGATGGCTAACGGGGTAAAAATTAAGTAAAACCTTGTTAACATTCCTGCAAGTTTGCAGCAAGCGCGTTTGGCTTGATATTACAATTTTAGACTACACAAACAGATATGTATACCACATCTCTTTCTAAACTAGGTCACAATAAACTCTCCATGGTATTCGATATAACCAACATCATCTAAACTAGGTCACAATAAACTCTCCATGGTATTCGATATAACCAACATCATCTAAACTAGGTCACAATAAACTCTTTATGGTATTCGATATAACCAACATCAACTCATGGCTGACGTCGCGTCCTTAGTTACATTTTTTGAGCAATTATTTTGCCCAATTTTATTTTTTACTCAGACATATGACCTTTATCAAACCAGAGATGTCATGAGGTGGAGGAGAATGTTAGCCGACTAGAGCTTGGCAATACTCGATTACCTATGAGCTTCGATTACAGAGATTAGTATCATGTAAAACAATCGAATTACGATTAAATCTATTAAATTACGAAGATAATCAACTAATCGAAATTAGTGTTTCTGACTGTTACTATGTTCGATTATTTAGCCAAGTGATCGAAGTATTTTCATTATTATTTTTGATTAATTAAAGGCTATTCAGCTCAATTTATTAGTGTTACAGCTCATGAAAAGAATTAACTAATCACAATTAGTGTTTCCAATTATTTAATGTAATTAATTAATGAGCGAGATAATTAATCGGTAAGCAAATTCTACTAATCGACCAGCTCTACTCTTTAAATGTTCTGCCAAAATTCGTATTTTCACGTATAGTTACTTTTAATAAACATTCTTAACCTGTGGTTGGCTTTATAATCGCTCAGTGCATTTGTTCAGAACTAAGATATACATTTTCGAAACTGTTCAAAACAGTACAAACCAAGTCAGTTTCAAATGCTTTGTATGACGAAAAAATGGTGTAAACAAGTTAGAAAAGTACTTTGTATGTAGGAATAAAACTCGAAATCACTAACATTACACACAGATACTTTTAAATAAATCAAAGCAAACATTCCGAGTATATTATGAAAACCAGTTTCCACACACAGTTTTGAATAGCCAATGAGAAAACAGTCCCAACAACGGCTGAAAGCATACAGTTTGAGTGTAGTTGTTGCTGGTAAGAACTTAAAGAAGAGCTTATAGAAATATATCATCGGAGTATTTGCTGGGAAACAGTTCCAGTGTATATTGAGCAATAAATCAGTTAGGTAGTTTCTAGGTGCTAGCTCCTAACAAAAACTGGCTGAGACGCTTAGATAACAACTTCGAAAATGGACTGAATAATAAACCATCTAAATATTCATTGATTGGGAATTTCTCATAGTAATTAAGAAATCAACAAATATTTTTCCAGTTTTGTTGTCTATACATCTGTATATATAAAAGAGGAAGTTTGTTTATTTGTTCACTTTAGGAAACCAAACGGATGAACTTGCAAATTTTAAAATAACTTCATAATAACCAGTTTTTTACAAGCAATTTAATGGTGCTATTTATTTTGTATTTGGTGTAGTATTTATTGACTAAATCGACAATTAGTGATTATTGCGCCATATATAATAAAACTAGCTGAGTTACCCGGCGTTGCACGGTGAAAATTTAGATTTGAAATGTATAGAATATGGAAAAAATTTCAAATCTCTTCGAGTAGCCATAAGCACTATCGAGCTTCGAATTGAGCGTCTACGTGCAGCGAAGTAGGCCCAAATATCCCACTAATTATATGAATCATACATGTATAATATTAAATCCTAAATAAATGTTTCTATTGCTATATCTTTTGGCGTGTCTTAATATTTAAGCTATATTTAGTGTGCCGTTGTACCGAAAATGTTGAGGAACACTAAGCTATGAAATGCGACGTCAGGGTATACTATGGAATAGGGTGTGTGAGGGGGGTAGTAGTACTTGCCCCGTCATTCTTGGCGGTTTATACGCTAGTTTCTATATGAAATTGGAGAGAGTTATAAAATTTTTTCATGCTATTGTCACCCCTCTATATGAAACTAGAGAGAGTTATAAAGGTTTTTTCCTGCTATTGTCACCCCTCTATATGAAACTGGAGAGAGTTATAAGGTTTTTTCCTGCTATTCTCACCCCTCTATATAAAATTGGAGAGAGTTATAAAAATTTTTCATGCTATTGTCACCCCTCTATATGAAACTAGAGAGTTATAAAGTTTTTCCTGCTAGTGTCACTCCTCTATATTAAACTAGAGAGAGTTATAAAGGTTTTTTCCTGCTATTGTCGCCCCTCTATATGAAACTGGAGAGAGTTATAAAGTTTTTCCTGCTATTGTCTCCCCTCTATATAAAACTAGAGAGAGTTATAAAGGTTTTTTCCTGCTATTGTCACCCCTCTATATGAAACTGGAGAGAGTTATAAGGTTTTTTCCTGCTATTTTCACCCCTCTATATGAAACTGGAGGGAGTTATAAAGTTTTTCCTGCTATTGTCACCCCTCTATATGAAACTGGAGAGAGTTATAAGGTTTTTTTCTGCTATTGTCACCCCTCTATATTAAACTAGAAAGAGTTATAAAGTTTTTCTGCTATTTTCATCCCTCTATATGAAACTAGAGAGTTATAAAGTTTTTTCCTGCTATTGTCATCCCTCTATATGAAACTAGAGAGCTATAAAGTTTTTTTCCTGCTATTTTCATCCCTCTATATGAAACTGGAGAGAGTTATAAAGTTTTTTCCTGCTATTTTCACCCCTCTATATGAAACTGGAGAGAGTTATAAAATTTTTTTCCTGCTATTGTCACCCCGTGGCAGTCACAGCTTACATATTCTGATGTGTGGTTTTACGCTCGAACAAATAAGCTAATTTCTTTAATTTGTACTGTTCACATGAATATGTACATGCAATGTCGCTTGTTGTTTTTCAATGCAAGTACGAATATCGCATTGACTGAAGTGCACACTGACTAACATCCATGCTGGAGATTTTTTATGGCCCAATAGGCATAACCGTAGGGTGTTGAAAATGATGAAATTCGACTATCAAGGCCTCCAGCTCATTACACGTTTTCGTTCCAAAAGTCACTAATTTTTGCCGTTTTGGAGACATGCGAATGTCATGAATATCAAATATCGATCTCTCGCTTTAGGCCGCTCGTTTGTGAGTAATACGAGCCACATAAATGTGTAGCGTTAGGTTTTAATATATTCAAGCTTGTCTATGGTTGCTCACAAAGAACGTATTGAAATGCATTAAAAGATTTACTATAGAACTCCCAATTATGAAAACGTATTCTAAAATCTGATTATAATATTTTGGCATAAATTAATAAGAATGAAAACGTAAAGCTATAATTATTTTTTATGTGCTCCTTTTAACTACTTTATCTTTAGGTTTGTCTCTCAGAATGACAGTCGGTACAAGTATTTTACCATCATTAAAGCCGACAATAAAAACATTGCGAATATGAAACAGTGACGAGCAAAGTTACATCCTCTAATGATGATGTAAAATTTTATTTTAAGTAGAGGCTTTGTGTTTATGGGGCTACATGGCTGAATTTGTTTGTTTGTTTTTGAATTTCGCGCAAAGCTACACGAGGGGCTATCTGCGCTAGCCGTCCCTAATTTAGCAGTGTAAGACTAGAGGGAAGGCAGCTAGTCATCACCACCCACCGCCAACTCTTGGGCTACTCTTTTACCAACGGCTGAATTTGTTAGCTCACAGAACGGACAATGTTAAGACAATACACAGGTCGTTAATAATAATGTAAAACCCAACAACTACATTAAGTATCAACGGCAAAGTTTCGAATGCTTAACTGTTTTCCTAAAACCAGGATACTCTCTCACTCAGAAGGTAACACAACTAATGTAATTAGGATTCGTTGATTCACAAATACAATAACCGCAACTTTTACAGTAGGCAGGTTCCAATTTAAATGATGTGTTAATGTGACTTTTACCTTATGATGATCCCATACTATGGGTCGAAACATTGTAATCATTAAAACTAAAACCTGTCTACCATAAATGTTGCTGTTAGTGTATTTTGGAATTAATCATTTATTTGTTTGTTTTAGTGCAAAGCCACATAACGCCCTCTGCGTTCTGTCCACCGAGGGGAGACGAAAATGTAATAGTAAAATAAAAACATACATTCGTTTTCTGATCTGAAAAAGTTGACAACGTCACAGCCTTCGTCCTATTTGTAAGCCGGTTAATTTAACAGAAGAAAACTAAGAAAAATGTTTGAGTACAATGAACTTGAAAAATATAAACCAGTTACAGAAGGCCTCTTCACCAACCACGTTATTAACATTCTATTGGAACATGGTAATGTTTAAAGTTTCTTGCCGAATTGAGCATATATATATATATACAGAGAGAGAGAGAGAACAACTATCTCTCTTAGATCATTTTGGCCTTTAACCCTTAACTACTTGGTGCATCTTTGGCAAGGTCACACAAACCACAAATTACTTTTTCAGAGAAAATATAAAAATTTATACAAAACATTCAAAAGCTTCCACTTACGTGTAATTCACAAAGAATCTCATTATTATTATAAAATATGAAATTAGCTTATAACAATTAATGTCATTCGAGGTCAAATAGACTAGGGTTAATACTTTTTCACAAAAATTACATTTTCAGCAATTGGAGACATATTAATATTACGCAGACTCACAAATTGTAGAAGTACGATAAATTTAGACTATCCAAAGACCAAAGAACATTTTAAATACATTTCTGTTAAACGTTCTTTGTTTTTTATTTATGTGTGAAGTTAGATTTTATCACGGTAATTTTGTAAGATATGTAACTCTAATCACATTAGTTTTTCAATAATATTGAAACGTAACATTTTCAAATTGTGTCAATAAATTCACACTTCATTTTATTTTTACATTATTTAAGGTCTAATCGTAATAAACTTTCAATTAATCACTTGCATATATATTCTTCGGTGGATTCATGGCTTATAATGTTAAAACTCAGGGCATGATTTCCATAATGGACACAGCGCAGAGATCTTATTGTACAGATTTACGCTGAAACTAACATTTACACATGAACGTTAATATTAAAACAATGAAGCTTTCATGCCGAGAAATATGTACTCTACACGCAGGTTACCTCAATATAAGGCTATAACCTCAACGTTAATATTAAAACAATGAATCTTTCATGCCGAGAAATATGTCTTAAATCATAACTTTATGTACTCTACACGCAGGTTACCTCAATATAAGGCTATAACCTCAACGTTAATATTAAAACAATGAA